TTTTTTTTTTTTTTTTTTTTTCACAAGTAGAACCAAGGTTAAAAAAACTACTAAGGCTAAAAATGATTTAGTACTGCTTAACTTTAGCGTTTTACTGTTTACCGTTAGCGTTTTTTGGCATAAGTTTATTGAGCTCACTCGGCAGTGTGATTCTCATTCCGTTCTTGGCCTGCTAAATTTGTGTTTTGTCTTAATGGTACTGGAGACAAATATGCAAATGCATTTGATTTTCAAGTTCCTGGTGGCGATCGTCGATAGACCAGAATTCGCTTTTAACTTGCACCTAAGGAACTTATTTCCTCGGCTGGTGCCGAGAAAATAGAAATAATAATGCACCAACCAGTGAGCGTAAATACAGCGTCCATGACGATAAATTTTAACACCTAATTTTGCTTTCAACCCATGATATTAGCCGGCCTCTTTAACTAGATGGGGGAAACCATCATGGTCTCTAATGGCTTTGGCTGATACCGGAGAGATTGAGTCGTGACAAGGTTAATTAAACTTGGTTATGTTCGCGAACAGTGCAGCGATTCCGAGCTTTAGTGTATATACGTATTTATTAAGCTATACCATACTGTCTTTGGTTTCGAACCCATAGCACTGTAGCCTTCCATACTTTACAGCTTTTTTTTGGCGATTGAATTTATATAAATTGTATGTACAAATGGAATGGAAGCCGGCTGGGGGTGATATGCCGAGGGTCACCTTCAGAACTAATATTAATGTGCCGAACATAAATATTGTGATTTGATCAAAATTATCAACGTGCTTGTGTATGTGGATGTGTGTGCTGTTTTGTGTTGTTTTGGGCAATGTTTATGAGGTCTTGCAATGCTGAAAGAACTTATCTGTAGTTGCCATCTTTGTGAATCTGTAGCAATTTATTGAAATGTTGTATTTGCTAGGGATGGGATTGGGTGAATTTAAGTTGATCTCTCTTAATGTAAGAGGCCTCGGCAATTTTAAAAAGCGAAAGTCTGTTCTAACTAATTAATCTTCTGGAATTTGAGCGAAAAACAAAAACAAGATTTACTAATATTATTGAAAATGAAATAGCTAGCTTGGGAAGCGACAAAACACAATTTGGGCTCCGTGCTAAGTTTTCAATCACCAGAGACGGTGAAACACAATACATGGAACATTATTTTGTCCAGAGTGATCCTGCAATTTTCAACATAAGCAACGAAGTAACGATGAACGACGTATTTAACCACTTCATTGATCAAGTGAAAGGCGAAATAGAGGCATGTTCGGAAAGAGGTGCCGGCTGGCTGGCATTTTGGCCGCATTTATTAATGTTGCTCGATACGAACCATATAGGGGAGTAAGCTATTTTCCTCTACCAAAAAGGTTGCGAAATAAGAAAGCAATAATTAACATCCAAAACAAAGACAGCCAGTGTCTGAGATAGGCACTTCGTGCTGTTCTATTTCCAGCACCAAGAGGTAGAAATCCGAAAAGGCTGGGAGTTAACCGAGGGAATATGGCCTAAATTTCACAGGAATAGACTTCCCAACACCAGTTTCACAGGTTGATAAGCTGGAAAACAAAACCCAAATCTTGCCATAAACATGTTTGGCTGGGAAGAAGACCATATTATCGTTCACAGAGTCAGCGAAATAGACGGCGCTATTCCAAGAACAAACTTGATGCTAATACAAGAAGGCGAGAACACGCACTACAGCTATGTGAAAAGGCTAACTACTCTACTGTATGACCAACATAGGCACAATAAGAGCAAGCATTTCTGCGGACGCTGTTTGTATGGTTTTCAAGGAAAAGAGCTACTTGAAAGGCTCAAACCCGAATGCGAAGGGTTGCTGAATAGGCCAACAAGAACAGTGCTGCCAAAAGAGGGAGAGGACAAGGTGTCTTTCACAAACTATTATAAGCAGATGAAAGCGTCTTTCGGAATATACAGAGACTTTGTTAAGAAAGATCCAAGGCTGCGAACCGCCAAAAGATGAAAGCTTCACCGTAAGAACAGAGATGCATAAGGCATACGAGCTTGCTTACGCAATCGTGAGAAGCGACGGCGAAACTTTCGGGCCAGTCAAATGCAGAGGTGAAGACGCAGTCTATGTGTTTCTTGCCAATATCTTAGAAGAAGAAAGAAGAATAAGAGCAGATATGGCAAACAAAAAGCCGCTCTTAATGACACGCGAAAACCGGTTAACACACAAAAAAACGCGATCACTGCCGTATTTGTAATAAAAGCCTTGTTAAAGATCTTTTCATGGACTCTGTCTCAGTGAACGACCATGATACTGGCAAGTATTGCGGTCAAAGTCACAGAAGATGTTATTACGAGGCCATCCGAAAAATGAAATTTATTGGCCCGCAAAGGGAAAGAAAAGTAAGAGATAAAATAGACCAATGGATCGCTATTAACCAGGAGACATGTTTGTTCTGTGCCGAGCCTTTGTTACTGCAAAACCATAAAGACTCAGTGAAGGACCATAGCTGCCACATCACAGGAAAATACCGGGGGGCCGCGCACAATGAATGCAACTTCAAGCTCAGATTGAATGCCAAAACGGCACTCATCCCGGTTGTATTTCACAACTTGAAAGGCTATGATGGACATCTTTTGATGCAGGAAATGTCGAGAGTGCAGGGCGAAATAAAATGCATTCCAACTAACACGGAAAAATACATTTCATTCTCACTGGGGAATCATTTAGGGTCATCGATAGTGTGGATTTCTTGCTGAGCAGTCTGGATTCCCTGGTAAAAGGCAGCGATCCCAAGTCTTTCAAAATCACAGAGAAAACGTTCAAAGACGAAGAAAAACTGCTCTTGAAGAAAAGAATACAAAAAGAGGCGTTTTACTCAAAACTTAATGGCAATAGTATCACGGAAGAAGATTATGAGCACGCGCAGAAAGTGTGGGAAGCGTTCGGATGCAAAACCCTCGGCAACTACCACGATTTGTGCATGACCACAGACGTGTTGCTGTTGGTGGATGTTTTCGAAAACTTTAGGAAGGTATGCATGGACAAATACGGGCTGGATCCGGTGCATTACTACAGTTCGCCGGGCTTGAGCTGGGATGCTCTTCTGAAAAAGACAGGCGTGGAGCTTGAGCTCTTGACAGATCAAGACATGCACATTTTCATCGAGAGAGGAATGACAGGAGGCATCTCAATGGTGAGCAAGCCCTACCCAAAGGCGAACAACCCGCGGGTTGAAGGATATGACCCGTGCAAACCAACAAATTACATAACTTACTTGGACGCGAACGACCTTCACAGCTGGGTGATGAGCTTGCCTCTGCCAAAAAGCGGTTTCAAGTGGAAGTGTGTCATGCCCACAGAAGAGCAAATAATGAAAATGAAAGATACTGGAGGTGGACCTGGAGTACCCTGAGGAGCTGCACGAGGAACGCAACAGCTACCCGCTCGCGCCGGAGTAAAAGGTCATTGGAACGGAGCTGATGTCGGGCTACCAAAATAGTTTGATGGAAGACTTGAATCTGGACCCGCCGAACAGCGAAAAGCTAGCGCTGACGCTGGAGGACAAAGAAATTACGTGGTCCGCTACAGGAACCTGCAGTTTTATCTCATACAGGGCATGCGTTTGAAAAAGGTGTACCGAGCGATCGAGTTTGAACAAGAACGCTGGATGGAGCCGTACATTGGGATGAACACCGAATTCAGGAAGGAAGCAAAAAGCGACTTCGAGAGCAACTTTTACAAACTGATTAACAACTCCGTGTTTGGCAAAACCATGGAGAACCTGAGAAACCGTGTAGATGTGAAGATTGTCCGAAGCTGGGCTAACCCCTCAGTTGCAAGGCATGTGATATTTGGAAATGACTTGGCAGGCATTCACATCCACAAAAGAGAGCTTTTCCTCAACAAGCCTGTTTACACAGGTATGACAATTCTCGAGAACAACAAGATCTTGATGTTTGACTTCTTCTATAATCACTTGAAAGCCAAGTACGGGCCGAAGTGCGAGCTCATTTACACAGACACAGACGGCCTACTCTTAGATATCCAGACGAAAGACGTTTCCAAAGATATGGCGGAAGACAATGGAATGTATGGCACAAGCAACTATCCAAAAGACCAGATGCTTTACAGTTGCTGGAACAAAAAGGTTCTGGGCAAGATGAAGGATGAGTGCGAGGGAAGGTTGATCAAGGAGGCGATCGCCATGAGGCCTAAAATGTATTCGGTCTTGGAAGAAAACCAGAAAAATATCAGGAAAGCCAATGGGGTGAAAAAGGATGTGGTGGAACGAGAAGTTAGGCACGAGCACTACAAAGAAGCGCTTTTCGAGAAAAAGCAATTCTGGCTCGGAATTAACCTTCTGCGCAGCGAGGGCCACGAGACATACAGCATGCGTGTGAATAAGGTTTCACTTTCGCCCTTTGATACAAAGCGTTGGATATCGGATAACGCCGTGCACACATTGCATACGGGCGCAAAGATATCAAGATTAAGCATGCGGAAGCTGTGTATTTGAAGGCACAACCAAAAGTTCTTCGCGGACTAAGCCGCGCTTAGGCCCGTCAGACAAATAATAGAAGACAAGCTCGTTCGGTTTAGTCGCAGATCTTTCAAGATGGTAGACTTTCAAAGACCAGATTGGGTCTGTGGCTCTTTTAGTCCCGCCTTCAAGTTCGCCAGGCTGATACAAATATCTCACATCAATTAGATGGGGGAGCTTTTTTTCTTTCAAGCCAACAAGCCTGGAATACTTTGTAGAGGGTTTGGAGGCGACAGCCTTCTCTTTGATTGCGACAGCTGTTTTTTTTCCCGTAAGACTTGTCACCTCATTGTTGAACGCCTCAACAACGTCGGGAAGCCTTTTGACCCAAGCAGTCGACCGTTGGCGCGAGGGCAGGAGCATTTCCACGGCATACTGATGACCGAACAAGCGCTAGGCCAGAGTGCGGTTGAAACGTTCAACAAGAGCTTGGTCTCTGTGAATTTCAGTGCGCCCTCGGCGAATATATGTTTTGTGGTTTTCCATTTCTTTGGTTACGCTTCCCATGAACTTTCGGCCAGGGTCAACCTACAGCAGCTGACGCCATGTCAAATGGCTGCGCTTGTAAATCGACTGAAAATCTTTCGCAACTTCAGCAGAATCTTTAGGGGTCAGAGGTTCAGCTTCTTTGTAACGGCTGGCGACGTCGACAACGGTGAGCACGTATTTGTAAACTCACCGGCCACGCGGAAGCTTGTCATGTGGCAGGAAAAGAAGGTCCGCTTGGGGGACCATGTTAGGTGACGATAGGGCTTTCCACAAGTTGCTCGGCAACTTTTTGGCAACTTTTTTTGTTTCGAGCAACTTTTTTGGTTTCAAGCAATTTTTTGCATTTTCTGAGCAATTTCCAGTTTTCTACCAATTCTGAGAAATAAGAGCAGATTTTAGTGCTAAAATTAGTCTTGCCTCCATAGTTTCCGATGTTTTAGTAGAAAATTTATGAATTTCTTGTGAAAAAAGAGACAGATCGCCCCTCCCCCTAGGACAGATCATGGGTGCAAGATGCATGCAGCCGCGCTGCTAGGTCAGCGGTAATTTTTCAAGAAAATTCAAAATGGCGGACGAAGAGTCACACTTAAGTGATTCGAGTGTCTCAGCTGGTGAAGAAGGTCATTCAGATCTTTTGAGGGTAGCTGTAGAGGCAGAAGCAAGACTGAGTACTCCAGCGAAAGCGGCAATTTCAAGAGAACGCAAAGTGCAAGCAAATCCAACTGAAAAAACGCAAAATGTCTGCGGCACAGCCGATCCAGATGTGAGTGTTTTGGATAGAGTAAATAATTTAAAAGGAGAGCATCTTACTGTGGTATCGGGTAAACTCAAATGTGATGCGTGCAAGGAAACCGAGTTCAGAAAGAAAAGCTATGTTGTAAAGCACATTGCAGTAAAGAAAGTTATTGCGAAAAGCAAGAAAAAAGACCAGGGTATACACTTTTTCGTTTTAATTGAGGACAAAGTTATTTAGCAACGCTGGTTACGCCACAAAATATTTCATTACACAAAAATGCTTAGAAATCTTACTTTAATTGTACTAATTGCATATTTTTTCATCAGACCAAATAAAGGAAGAGAGCAACAAATTTGTTTAACATTTTAGCAACTTTCTTTATGAAAAGCAACTTTTGGCCTTTTTGGAGCAACTTTTGAGCAACTTTTTAAGAGATCTCAAGCAGCTTTTTGAGAAATCTCGAGCAAGTTGTGCAAAGCCCTAGGTGACGATACGTCGATTTTTGGGCAAGGAATATAGCGCAGCGCGGAGAACTAGATCTGCCAAAGAGCTTGTTTGATAAGCCACCGCTTGGCAGTTTCTTCAGGGACTTTCGCAGCTTCTGCTAATTTTTTTTATGGCAGCAATGCCTTTCTTGTAGCCCTTGGGACTGTAGTCGAGTTCGGTGAACTTGGAATCCATTTTTTCTTCTTCGAAGAAGAGATATGCAACACCGCGAAAAGTTCAAGGAAAACGAAAAACTGCATAGCTGAGAGCGAACACGGTGCCGCCCACAAAAAGTAACTTGCCTTATTTCTCCAGCTCACTGGGTTGGTAAAAGTCAGAGAATTGGCGTTCTTTACGGGGTGTTATTTGCCGGTCCGGGTGTGACTGCGCATGGTCAGAGTTTGAACGCGTAATCGGTGTTCGTAAAGTTCTGCTTCGCTTGGTCTTTGATTTCCCCGTTGGTTTCGATCCAATCAAGAAGCTAAGCTTAGTGCGGTCACGTGTGTATGTGGCCATAGCAGCATGATAACCTTCAAGAGCAGGAGCTTTATCATGCCGCGTTTTCTCTTCTAACGTGGCCTTTCCGCTGTCGCCGGACAAATATTTAGCAAGATAGTTGCCACTGGTGAAAGCATCGGCATTAAGAAGTGCGCCTCCAATCATAATTACAATGTTGGCCATCGTCTTTCTTCTACGGTATAGCAATATGCTCACTTTTTTAACTGGTTGGGAGAATCTTTTGGTCTTCGAGGTACTGTTTCAGCGCGACGCTCCCCGCCATGACAGCTGCGAACTTTGCATAGCTCATGACGTTGCTGCTGCGGTCAAGGATGAAGTTCTCTTTCACTACCTTTTTCTCAATCCAGCCGATGCCGGCGGCCAAGCCGGTAAGAATGACGGCATCTATGATCGTTCTCACGAGCTTGTTGTCAGGCATGTCTGTTCTACGAACAAAGTATAAGTGGCATTTTTTTTCTTTTCAAACGAAAACTTTCGTCGGTGGTCTGGCTCTGAGGCAAATGCCCGACAAGCCTCGCATAAGTGCTTTTCTTCTTCTTCGTCTTCTTCTTCTTCTTCTTCTTCTTCTTCTTCTTCTTCTTGTTCTTGTTCTGATCCAGAGTCGAGCTCTTGCCAAGTGACGTGATTTTCTTCTTTTGAGCCAGAGGCTTGTTCTTGCCAAGTGAACAGTGCAGAAATGAGACGGCGGACCGTTTTGAAAACCTTTTCGTTGAAATTAATTCAAAGCAGCCCTATCCCAAAAATAGCAGCAGTGCTGATGAAAACTTGTTGGACGTCAACTTTGGGTCTCATTGTTGTTGTATATGAATGAGAGAAAAGTTTAATTAATCCATCAAACGGATGATATGCCTTTTTTTGGTTGCGGTGCTGCATCCACAAGAGGCTGTGTCGGTGATGGCGGGGGTGTCTGTGGCGGCCTCTTAGTGAAAACTCTTTTTATCTCTTCGCGTTTGTAGTAGTTCCCAAGCATTGAAACGAGAATGCTGACAACACTAAACCACTGAGTAGTGGTGAAAACATTTCTTGTGGCGTTCACGTCTTCGCCAACGGTCTTCTCAGGGCCTGCTGTTGAAGTTTCTTTTGCCTGGTTATTTGCAATAATGACACGTGCGAGCCTCAGCCAAGGCTTCTTTCTACGCTTCGCGAGCCTGTCTTGGTTCCTCAGCAATGGCTTTGCCCGCAGCCACTCGCTTTGGGTTTTCGCCGGTTTAGTGGTTGGAATTTTTGAAGTCACCTGTTGACTCGAATAGTCTGCCGCAGGTTGTGTGTCCTCAAGTTGGGCTGCTGCAGTTTGCGCTTCCGACATTGCATATGTTTGTTAGTTAATAACAAATATTTAATTGGGAATTACTGGCAAATACTGACTAATTATTCAGCAGTTTCTGAGGATTGTTCAGGTTGCTCAGGTTGTTGCTGCTCAGCATTGAAATCGCGCTGGCCACCGCGAGCATCCGCCCACATTTCAATGTAGCGTTACCAGACAAGGCAGACAACTCTTTGTTGATTATTTAATCGTTTTTGAGCTCTTGCTGAAGAGCATCAATGGCTTTGATACGCAAGAACATATTAACCGCCTTGGTTGCAAGCATCAGAACGCTGTCAATCAAGGTTTCAGTGGTCTTGGCGCCCACGAAGGAATCATAACTTTTGGTATACTTTTGGACATCTTTGTCGCTCAATCGCTTCACATCGTCATGTGTCAGCTGATGCCGATGGCTTCTTTTAATTTACCTGTGGAAACAAGAATTGCAAGCTGTTCACAGAGAGAGGGAATATCAGGACCGGAGGCAGCCACAGGGGTGCTTGACGGCTGCAAAACCAGCAGCTGCAAAACCTCTTCCATCGCCGGTTCAGCTTCCAACAAATTCTTAACGTCAGCCATTGAGTATATATTGTAATTTTTTTCAATTCAAGTTGATCGTGAAAGGGTAGCGAAGAGAGAGCACAAGGTGGAAATACTTGCGCTCTTTAAACCTGCTCTCAGCTGCTTGAGATCATCTTGGGCAAGCTCACCGGCGTATTCTTCAAAGATGGCCCTCGTGGTTTTGGCCGACGGCGTGTTAAACAACACGATCGCTGCCACATTCTCTCGGAAAGGCTTCGCGATGCTGGAGAGCTGCTGAGTCAGCACCCACGCGTTGATACCTGTGTGGCGAGCAGAAAAGCAGAGTTTGACTAGCTCATCAGTCCGCCCTTTCACGTCTTTTGAGGCTGTCTAGTCATCAATAACTATGAGGGTGTTGGTGCCTTCAAAAAAAATACTCACCGCTTTTAACCATAGTTCTACGTTATGCTACTCGCAGATGATAACAAAAAACCGCGGCTCTCTCTCAGCGAAGCGGTAGAGGGTCTTTTTATAGGAAAATGTCGGGCAGATGAGCACGAAATAATCAAACTTGCCGCAAAAGGGGCCGCAGAACTGGTTCACGAGGAACTGCGTCTTTCCTGAGTTGGTGCAGAAAACAGCAAAGTTGAGTTGTTGAGGCCAATATTTCATGTATGGCCCGCCCAACCAGTTTTTCATTTCGACTGAAGTTCTGGGTGTGTCTGGTTTTTTGGAATATTTCCCTGAATTTTGTCACGAAAAAGGTGTCAGGAGACACAGATTTTTTTCGCCTCGTTGAATATTTTCTTAGGGCTTGGTGCTGCCTCTGTGAAATTTACGGCTGGAATTGGCAACGATGTTTCAGTTTGTCTCAGCGACAATTGATAAGAACGTCCGGCATGGGCGCCGCTTCTGTGATCA